CATGAGCCGTACCCATGCAGACAGTGCCGAATGCACCTTTAATTAATGTGCGATTCGTTTCAATGAACGTTGTTTGGCGCAAATTTGACTGACTTTCACACCAGCTTATATCAACAACTGCCGAATCCAAGATCTTTTCAACCAGATCAAGCATCCTTCACAATTTGAATTTCACACATACGCGACTAACTTCAAAACTGCATTCAGTATTTCAAATTGCTAATTCAATAACTCGTAAACAAATAAACACATCGAAACGCAAAACCAAACATTGAATTTGGCTGACCTTGCCCGATCACACCTCCAACTTGAATGCGACTGGAAGGAATCTCGTAATCGATGTAAACTGACGGCCCCGTTGGTCGCCGATAGAGGATATTTGTTTCTAACATTGAATGACTGAATTTATTCAACGGTTAGCAAATCGAATTATTCTACAACTCGTTGCTTAGTTCACTCCGCTCTCGAAATCCCAAGCGTACTCTCTTAACTTTCACGCAAATCAACATCATGATTTATAGTCAGTGTAGGATGAAAGCGTTTTAAAGGCATTTGAAAATCTGACTGAATAGGACGAGAATTGGAGGAACAGAAAGTGTGACTAATGAATTGTGTTCACCTGGAATGTGCCATTGCCCACGGTATAATCGAAGACTTCTCAATCTCCGATTTTGTGCTTCGCTTATAGCAATTTCTGACCGCCAATGCGATCACACAACAAGTCATCAGCAGAGCGCTTAACGTAGCGCTGCCAACCAGTATTATTAACAAGGGTGTTCTCAACGACACGACTGTCGGACGTAACGTCGAGAAGCTCGAGCCTTCGCTCATTTGATTACCATCTTTGCCATCAATATCAACATTTGGCATGACGTCTTCATCAGGCTCAGTCACATTCAACGAATTCCGAGGAACAGACTCGCCGTGAACGGAAGTTTTATTCGAGCTGTTTTCTGAGCGCTCCTTTGATGGAGACAACTCAGTGTTGACGCTCGTAGATGCGTTGTTCCATTTGAACGCTCCTTTGTCGGTGAATTGCTCATTGGGAACGGTGAAGAACGGCACTGTGACTTCGTCACTATTGCAGAGTTGATCGTTGAGCACAAATATTGTCACTCGATACTCTTCATTCTCTTTCAGATTCATTGGAAGAACCGTTGAAAATGTGGTTTCATTCTGAAACCTTTCTTTCATTATTAGTTCGGATTTGAAGCATGCAAGCCTACTGCATGTTGTTTACGCACTTGAAATTCGCATATTGTTTTATCGTGAGTATGAAGTTCCACGGTGTTCTGCTTAAAAGATGTTACTGATTTGAACTACTAATCCTTTCAATGTATTCTGTATTATCTATTGAGCTTGTGGAATGCGGATTTGCAATCTCACCATAATC